GCTTGTAGAAGTAAAAAAGAATATACAATTAGTTTAATTAAAAGACCACTGCCCACAAAGAGAAATCTATCTATCAATCAGACAAAGGAGGAACGAAATCAAATCAAGCAGCTGAAATCTATAAATAATGACAACTAAATTAAGAGGTTTCAATTGCTTCGATTATAGGGAGAAAGAGAGCAAGGTCAAAACCATGGAACGGAGGATATTGGAAATCTTGACAGTGAGGAAAGCTCCGAATCGCTTGATCAGCTGAACAACATCGACTTTGGAGTGGTCAGCCATGACAATAGTACTTCAGCCCTTCGCTGTTGGAGACGACAATCACAAACCCGCTTCTGAGTGGTGTAGATGCTGCCTCCCAAATTAATACTGCCGAGATTTCAGTTCTTCCATTGGATATCGGCGCCCAATGTCACAGATTGTATTGTAGGAGGAGAACAGTGCCAGAGATTGAACAACAAGGCCGTGGACGAAGAGAGAGGATCCCGCCTTCGACTTTTTGGGCAGGGGGCCCCTACTAGCAAAACATGACCAGACTGTTTTTTGACCAGAAACCCGACCCCAAATTAGCGGGTTTTGAACATAAATTCTGTGACCCGAGCCCAAAATCACCCGAACCCGAGGACCCGTTAAAATTTCGGGTCGGGTCGGACCCGACGGGTTAGGCACTCCAAACTTAAGAATTAAGATTTTATATTTTCATTTATTACTCAAACACTTATACTAATCGGCTCTTAAGAGGGTGTTTGGTAGTACGCTGCTTTTAACAATTTAGCTTCTGCTTTGAGTGAAAATGATTTTACTCTGTTTGGTATGTCAGCTTCTGCTTTGAGTGAAAATGATTTTGTACATGGAACACCGTTTTGGAGAAGCAGGTATGAGGTGTTTTTGCTTTCAGCTTTTGTAGAAATCACTTTATCTATAAGCTAATCACTCCCAAACACCCTCTAAGTCTTAAACCTAATTGTTCCCTGACTCCCTGTCCATCGGCCGACTCTCCTCGCAATTTCTCCGCCAATAGTTGCAATCTTCTCACTCTTCCGTCAATCATTCTCTGACCTCCAGTGGCGTCGGCTCAATGGTGAGAAGAAACAAACACAGTAGTGAAATTCCTAATCCTAATTCATCATCTTCAGTTGAGTGTATAGGTAAATCATGTTAACTCTCTTTTAAAATTTAAAATATAAAATCATTGTTTTCTAATTTCTATTTACGCAGTATTGTTTAGTCTTTGTTTTTTGCTATTTACGGAGTATTATACTCCTTGTCTCCTTTGCCTGCTAAATTCTAATAGTTGGAATAAGTTTTTAAAAAAAAAAAATTAAGTACGGAGTATAATAGTCTGCCGACTGCTTATGTCAAGAAGACAAGAACTCAAGATCAAAATTTTTGGCTTATATGCAAACTTGGGTACTTCACATCTAATTTAAAACTGGAAATTTTTTTTCTCCCCCAAGCAAGCAGTATATATATATATATATATATATATATATACATACACTCCCTCCGTCTTATAATGTTCTTCCCGGTTCATTTTACGAAGTTTGACCGACTTTATTTTCAATTCAATTTATTTGATTGTAGGTGTAAAATTATAAAATAAAATTTATATATTTAAAACTACATCAAATGTTCTACAAAACAAGTGGTGACAAGACTATACTCCCTCCGTCCCAAATTATAATGCATGTTTACTATTCACAGGGTCAAACTTCATTTACTTTCTTTCTCTATTTTTGTTAGCAATTTGATAAAATAAAATATCATTGTCACTACTAGTTTTGTAGATCTTTTGATGTAGTTTTTTAATATGTAATTTTTATTTTTTAATTCTATACCATTTGTCATATAAAATGGTTTGAAAATAATTTCAGTCAAACATCGTAAACCGAAACAGACGTTATAAATTGGGACGGAGGTAGTATTATTTTATCAAATACCTAATGAAAATAAGTAAATAAAGTGATTAAAGTTTGACCGATTAAAAAGTGAGTGGGAAGAACATTTTAGGACGGAGGGAGTACTATATATTCTTGGCAATCTTGGGTGTTCACATCAACAATACTACCCAAGTTTTGACTTTTGACCAATTGAATTCAAACTTGAATTTGAAGTTCCAAATGGGCCGTATGTCCATGTCCTCAATTTTCTTGTGAGGGGATTTGATACCCAAAATTTAAAGTCTATAGATATTGACTAAAATATAGCACTCTTTTATTTTTTGTGTTAACTACATTATAAATTTTAGGGGTTTCATTTTTAATTTTATCATACAGGAACTACCACTAGAACCGAAGAGTCTTCTCAAAGTCGGAAAAGAAAATGGGCTTCACCAATTTGGGACGAGTATAATGTGTTTGATGGAGACCAATCACCACAGTTGCATCTGAATCTACTTTGAGTTTAGGTGGTAGAATTTTAACAAAGTGGAGAGCATCACTTAAGCCAGAGAATGCAGAAGCTTTGATTACCACTCATAGTTGGATATTTGGCTATGATATTGATGAAGGTGATTTAATATATAAGACTCAATTTATTTTACACTTACAAATTAACTCTTCATATATGTGTTATTGTATTAATATGTAGATGAACGTGACAAACTTGAAGAAGGCATTGAGTTGGATTTCAGGCGTTCTACTCGTGATAAGCATCAAATTGATATGGGGAATGACTTCACTTGAGAATGAACTTCTAATCATTTTGTTTGAACTCTAAATTATTTGGTATTTTGATTAGTGTGCTTGGATGGTTCATTTGGGACATGATAATGTTTAGAATTTTTTGCTATGTTTACTTTTTTGTTGTTGTTTTGAATGATTTTTTTCTCTGTTTTGAAAAATGCATTGATCTCTAAATGGAAAATTTATAATTTTTAAATACGCATCTTAACCCATTGGGTCAACCCAAACCCGATAGCTCTGGGTCATGAACAAGCATCATTAGACCCGAACCCGAAGTGACCTGAACCCAATGTGACCCGAATCCGATGTGACCAAACCCGAACCCGACCTGACCGACCGTTTTGCCAGGTTTAGCCCCTACCATAGAACAGATCCGGTATTTCTAGAAAAAAATCAAAAATACCAATCAATAGTTTTTAAACGTGCTACTAGTAAATAATTTTTTTCATAATCAATGTCTTCTTTCTTATTGTAGTCTTTTGCTGCAAGTTTAGCTTTGTTTCTAATGATTAATTCATTTTCGTAGAGTTTGATATGAAACACCTATTTTGTACCTATAATGGAATGATCATTACGACTGAGCACCAATTTCCAAACATCATTATGTTTTAATTGGTTAAGTTCTTCTTGCATTGCTATATATCAATATTGGTCACTAATGCCGACCAAAACAGTTGTTGGTTCAGTTTGTGAAACAAAAGTCATGTGATTAATAGTGTCCCTAAGAGAATTGCGAGTAGACACTCCTTGCGAAATATCGCCAATGACGATGTCGATTAGATGATTCTTCAATGTCCTCCATTCCTTCTGAAGCTCCGTTTACTTTTGCGTTTTCTCTTTTTCCGGTTCCTTTGACTTGATGATCTCTTCTTCTTCGTCATGAGAACCTACAATGTTTTCAACAATATCTCTTTTCGCCAAATGAGCATCAAACTTATCGAACACAACATGAATAGAATCTTCTACGATCTTAGTACGCTTGTTGAAAACTCTATATGCTTTCCTACGTAATGAATAACCTAAGAAAATGCTTTCATTCGACTTACATCGAATTTTCCCAAGTTATCTTTGTTAAAGGGGGAGATTGTTAGTTTCATGGTGTTGGCTTATCTTTTGGCAAAATAAAATCTCATATCTGTTAGGTGTTTTACTAGGTAGAAACCTCTATTTATTAGGATATGTTTATTTTATTTAGACTTCTAGAGTTGTTGTAGTATTCAAAGTTGACACGGAAGATGTTCCAGCACGATGCTGCAACACACTGTTCGGGATCAGAAGTATGAACACTGGATTTTAAGATGCAATCTGAATCAGAGACCTGTTGGGAGTGTTGCTACATGATTATAACTCCAGCTATACATATTAAGGAATCCCAACTCTTTATGCTACTTGTGGATCAAGATTAAAGAAGTTGTATTCAAGCCAACATCTACTAACATATTCCTACTAGGATTGTGTTAAGAGAAACCTATAAAAACGCAACAGATCTCTAGGAATTTTTTGGAGCGATTGAGAGGGAAAACAAAGAATATACGCTGATGTAGAGCATTTCCGTCGCGTCCCGGAGCTTCCCATGCGTGAAGAAGGTTATGATCTACATGAAGAAGGAGATCTTCAACGCCAAACAAATCGTGACGTCCAGGAGATGAACTAGAGCTGAACAAGTGGGCTGCCAACACGTTAATCCTGGTGATCTCGGTGGAGATGTGATAGCCGAAGCGGATCTGTACAGTGTACGGGTTAGAAATCCTAGATTAGATATTTTGTCATAACAATTCAGAGAAATGTGTCTCACCATGCTGTTATGTACCGGTGTAACTTGCATCTAGTGATTTAGTGGAGGACTATTACACAGCGTGGGCCCCGCAGACGTAAGAGAGTTCTTCAAACTACGTAAACATATCTGTTGTTATTTTTTACGCATTTTATAGTTACAGCATTCTGCTCAATAGGCGTCGTAACACCCTCTGCATCATTTGTTTCTGTGTGTGCTTGTGACAGAGAAGTGTTATAACACACTGTCTATCACCTGTTATTGTGATAATGAAGTAGCATTTTTTCTACAGCATAGTTGACTGTTTTATTTGCACAGCTCTTAATTGGTGATTTTTTATGCGCCCTGACAAACTTATAATTTTTTTTCTTAAAAGATAACACAAACACACAAAAACTCAAGAGTCTACAAAATCAAGTGAAATACACAAAAATGATACACAAAAATCTAAGTAAGACCTAAACACAAAAATCATATTTTATAATTATGCACAATTTAAACACAAAATAATTAAAAATAAAATTTATGATTTTAACTAAAGAAAAAGAAAAAAACCCTTTGAATTCTAAGAAGACATGTGGCTGGAAAAAAAGGCGACAGCGTAGAGCACGACAAGAACGACGGCGCGTAGAGAATGAAGCAGTGACGGAATGGCAAGGACGAGAGAAGGGCGTGGAGGGGAAGCCGGTGTGTAGGGGAGGCTGGTGGCAAGGACTAGGGAAGACCATCGGTGAAGATTTCAGCAGCGGCAAAGATTTGAGGAGGAGCAGCGCGATGAAGATTTGAGAAATTGACAAATGTGTAAAGAAGATAGAGAAATTTTACCTAAATAGAACTAAAACATAATGACTTTTCCAATATAAGATCATATGTTTTTATTTTCCAATGAAGGACATTTGGTCATTATCAATTAGTCATTATTCAAGTAAATGTTCATCATTACTGGACATTATTTCTTCCACTAGGTCATTATTAAGTCTTATTTAAGTAATAAAAAAGTTTAAGTCCTACATTAGGAAAATCATTATGTTTTAGTCCTATTTAGTGTAAATTTCACAAGAAGATAAGGTCTGATTGCTTTTTTTAATAACCTCTTTTAAATCAGTTATTAGAAGTAACCGATTCAAATAACTTATTTAAATAGTATAATAACCGATTCAAATAACTTATAATCAAAAGGTGTACTGTTTTTAATCCGTTATTACAAATAACTTATTTAAACAGTATCTGAATCGATTATTTGTAATGACCGATTCACATGCATAGCGGTTGGTGAAAAATATTCAATTGCATCGATTTTTATGCGTCCGATTTAAATGTGATTAACCATTTGCTCATTTTTATAGTATTGATATGTGATGTTGATCTTGGTGGCAGATGAGGACGAGATGTCGGACGGATGTGTGATGATTTTCAACTGTTTAATAAATATTTCAAAATGAATTATTTATATTTGACGATTGTGTTGTTGAAACAATTTATTTAAGCTTCTGCAAAGTTTACAAAACTCTAATGATGTTGAAATAATATTTTATTATGGTGAAATAAAGATTGAAATGTATTGAACTTTTGATGTTACAAAGTTATTACTTTAGTTTGAAAAGGACTGGAGATCTAGACGGATTGGGATGTTACAATTGTAATCTAATATTTGTTCATGTATTCTCAGCCTATTGAATAAAACACATATATAGAGTGTTGCCTCACTAGGATTCGAACATGTGATCTCTTATTTGGTGGGTTTTACTTTATTATTCGGTAGTTGTAGTATTATAATGTCAATGTGTGACTACACTTTACAACATCCTTTAATTTTAGACATCAAGGTGTTGCACATACAATAAAATTCATGGATTTTGTTAGACCAAAACAATATGGCAAAACTAGAGTTATGGTTAGATATTAATGTCCTAAAACATTATCTCCATCATTAAACATTATCAAGTTACACAAATTATACTTATATGCACTGATCAATTTCAATATATTCCTTGTATGCAACAACATAAAGGTACGACTAATCACTCAAGGCATTTTTGCGAGATAATATTGTGTTAAAAGACTGCAAAGACAACATGTTTGCTATGTAATACAACATACTCTAATTTATAAGACATTTTTTGAAGGAATTAATTTATATAAGACATAATTTCTTTTGAATTTATATCGATAATTATTTAATACATTACTGTATAGATTCATTATCACACTTAAATTATAGTGTCTTAAAAAAATACAAAATCACTATCACATGTTAGTATCATCTAAGCCAAGTCATTATAGTGTGAAGACAATATTACCTTAAAAAGCACGTCTAATTCTCATTTCACGCACATAAGACATTCTCACAAAATCCATTGCACTCTGACATCTGTCATACATATCCATTTGTTCGCCTCTCGGCAAAAAGTTTGACCAATTTATCATAGATGAACTTCACAATGGCAGAGACAATATCTTCGAGTCACTTGACCTCCACCCAACTCTGGAAGATTTGTGAATGCGTGGTCAATACCACCGTGTCTATATGATATTATGCATGCATGGCAGTGTTTGAAAAGGAGATATTTGGTGGTATTTATAAGATGTAAAGTGAGAGTAGGAATGTGTAGTTAGGTAGGAAGGGGGATGCATGGGTAGGTGGGAGTAGAATGAGTGGTTAGGTGGGAGGGGAAATGCATGTGTGGGTGAGAGTGGGAATGCGTGGTTAGGTGGGAAGGAGAATGTAAAATGAAAATAAAAGATTTATCAATTCAAAATATTAAAACACATGATTCGAATATCATTACATTTCATAAATTGTATGAATTCAACAAGTAATGTAACATACATTACCGATATGTACTGGATTATAGACAGGATGCTCTTGTGGGTGATCAAGGATAGATGAATGTCCAAGAGCATGCATTTATCAGCAATTCAAAGTTCAAACAAATTTTAATACTCTTTCCGGCCTTAAAAACTTTTTTATTTTAACTTTTTTAGTCAAACAGTGACATTCTTCGAGTACGTACAAATCAAACATAATCTAAATATATAAATAATACGGACTATAAAAATTTGATATATCAAAACTATATTTTAAAATAAACCCAAATATATTGAATAGATATTATAATTAAATTTTTTTCTCACAATTTAAGATCAAAGTGTATCACAATTTGATAAAAAAAGTCAAAATCAGAAAGATTTTTAATAACGAAAGTAGTATATACCTTAAACATGGTAAAAGTTAATTTGGGGCGAA